AAAATAAAATAAAATAAAATAAAATAAAATAAAATAAAATAAAGAAGGGGACATATTTCACATCTGATGGGAGTTAAGATAGTTAATGTGATTATGAACACCAGTGCCCGACATAGTACTTCCCCTTTTATTGGCCAGTATCTGATGCATGGGCTGCCTCTTGCTCCTGTCCCAAAGCATCTGCATACAGACGTGGGTAGGAACTTGGTTCGCTACAATTAAGCTTTGCCAAATGCTCCAGGACTTTCATCTTGGTGGTTTCAGCGTGGGCCCTTGGACCCCACAAGAACTCATAGTGAGCAGGATCACTGTTGGCCACCTGCCGGTACTCAAGATATCCTTGCTGTACCAATTCCTCAGTGATGAATTTCCAGGGATCCTTAAGAACAAAGTGATCCTTCTGAGGTAACATTTCCCTTTTTCTTAGGAATTCCTTGATGTCGTCCTCACTGACGCAGTTTCCTTTCACTAAAATGATAGTCAAGATGACTATCAAGAGGTCGATTTTGGAAAGGCACTGGTAATTATCACTGAGCATCCCATTATAAGTGAGTCCCAAGAGAGGCAAGAGAGCATAAGTGTGGCTCATGGGGTCCACTTCCCTCATATCAATGCCAAAGCTCAGACACATGTTTTCACAGACTATTTTGAATAGTGGTATCTGTTCGCTATCATAATCAGGGCCCAAAGTGTGCAACATTTCTGCCTTGGTGATTGCCTCCTGTGTTTGATACTTCTGGAGCAGGAGTATCAAAACTGTAGCTATGCTGTCATCTAGGAACACATGGGACAAGAACTGAATGCCTAACACATCCAGGGCATTGCATATATCCTCTTCTTCTCTGCTAGAACTATCACTAAATTGGCTCTCTTGACTGGAGGCCATCACAGTGGTGGAGAGAATATTCCCTGATGATTCCCGGGACAACTTGGTGTCCTAGACCAATCACTTCACTTGCTCTATCAGAGAATGGAGTACTGGAGAAAGAGGAGCCTGAAGAAGAAGTGACTGGTACTTCCTCTCTCACAGGCTTCAAAGACTGCACACCTGCCAGGCTCTGTGCCCCTGTTTGCATAAGATGACCTCCCCCTAATTTGCTGTGCTCCTTCCTCTGACCATGAAGAAGCTCCGTGGTTCCTTGGTGATAGTGATTCAGATGCCTTGAAGAGAGAGGAAGACTCTGAGTGTTCTTGCATGACAAAAACACTCTTGTTAGTACCCCAAAGTCCTTCTCTTTGGGTGGTGTTCACAAGGTTCTGTCCTTTTAGAGGCACTTTCAGTAAGAATCTGGGACAGAAACCCAGACTGCTTCCCAGGCTGCAGTTGAATTGCAAAGCACAGACTTTAGGGAAGACCATGGGACTGTTGGGACTGGGCAGAAAGATTCATATTTGTCCTCGTGCACCTGGAGTCCTAGGTACACCTTCAAGGAATACACCTCACTTTTACCACTGGGTTTCCTACGCTGTTAGCTATGGGCATCACCTCAGACCAAGACCTTCCCTGTCTGGTTTCTGGAGCTCCTGTAAGGGACATGAAAGGCCTCTTAGATGCAGACCACAAGCACAGTCCTGCTCATCCAGCTCTTAAATGATAGGGTAGGCTGGAGCCTTTTATATCCTCATTGCATGAGTTGGAATGAACCTTTCTCCTCTCGCTCAGGTACCTCAACACTCCTTGAGCAGGACTTGAACCCCACTCTTGTTGCCCTGTGGCAAACTCTCTGAAATTATCTTTCTCTCTGATAGCATATAAAAGGCACTATGAGGGACATACATCTTCACAAACTTGCCTCAGGCCCACAGTTGGAGGTAGAAAACATCATTTAGGTCCTGTTGCCCTGGGAAAGGGAATATTCTCCATCTTATCTTGACAAATGGTTAGGTCTGGGATTCTCCCTGAAATGACTTGGGTCTACCTTCTATCTAAGACATTCACAGAGGAAGTGAGGGGAAGCCAGTCTGCCTGCATTCCCTGTGTCTGATGACATGCAACAGAGGGACAGGCTGACGTTAGGCTCCTGTGTGTTCTGCTGACAGCATTTCCTTTGCCCCAATCAAACCCTTGATAATCTCTGGATAACAGCTGGTTTGTGTCGAGCCTTCACCTCACTGAGAGCAATGATGCCAACAAACAGAGCTTGCTCAGCCTGGCAGACTTGTTCATCCTTCCTGGCATGACCAATGGCTCAGGGAATATATCTGTGGAGCAACCACCATCTGTACTTTGGACAAGGAACCTTCAATCTTCCATTAGAGTCCTTACTTTGACTCTTTTCAGAGGGAGGAAGTGTGTTTCCTGAGCAAGTGGGGTTACCTGTGCCAATCTGACGTGCCCACCTAAGATAAAGTCGTTCATACTGAGAGCTCTAGTATCTCGAGGCGAGCAGGCAATAATCCTGTCCTGCCTATATGAGGACCCATTTTAGACTGCAATACATGTGTTTATCTGTCCTATAATGCAGGACCCGTGCTATGGTTTAAGTCTAGATTCCTCTTGAAACTTCCATGGGAAGATAGGATGGAAAATCTGCAATGTTATTGAATTATAGGGGCTTGTACCTTACTGTCAGGAAGTAGGACATTTAGGAAAAGGAGGGTCACTGTAGCTGAGATCGGGAAGGCTGTATCTTCCTTCCTGACTTCTCTCTTCACTGCCTGGTTTTTGTGGGACTTGTGGGGCTTAGCTGTCCTCACACCAGGCCCTGAGACTCCGTTGTGCCTTGAAGTTGTCTGTCTATGGGATGAAAAATCTATAAATTGTGAGCCCCAGTCGTGTTTTCCCCCATTAAATTGCCAGTGTTGGGAATTTTGTCTCATAAATGTGATCATAAGATAGAGCATATGTGCTTCTGTAGTTTAACCGTCTTCCCCTGCACACAGTTCCTCTCATCTCCCCCATGGTGCTCCCTTACATTTTGTGTTACAAGTGAACATGCTGTTTAGGAGCCTCAAGGGCTAACCCAATCGAAAGGCTCTCTTGGTCTGTTGTTTCTGGACAGCAGGCACCCCCATTCCTAAGGTAAAGGCCATATGTTGAGTCTGTCAGCTCCTGGGGTACTCCATTTGCCTTACCTGTGTAGCTCCCTTTGCTGAATTGTCACTCATGGACCAAGGTCCTTACCTCCCTCAGTGCTCCCAACTGCAACCACTTAGCAGAACTTCATGGAATCTACAAGCAACCCTCCCCACTCCTCAGAGCTTTAGACTGATGATAGGGGTAGTCATGCTCTGCGGTTCCTTACTTTTATGGGTGTGTGTTACATAATAAAAAGTGCTGAAAAAATACCACATTGTGGAGCAATAGCAATTTAACTTCTCCATGATTCCAAATTCAGATTCTGCAAAGTGTCATTTTGAAGAGAAAAAAAAGAAGAGAGAGAATGAGAATGAATCATGAATCCCTGGCAACCCAGAAGGAGATAGCACAAAAAGCCAAAACTACAGGAACGTAGAAGACACTGACTACAATGCAGAGAGGGAGTGCAAAGAAGAGTTATGACTTTCTTCCCTATTTATGTCTGATGGGAAAGGGATTGAATCTGTGCAATCAGAGGCACCTGTTGGATTGCAGTAGGTCCCACAGAGGAAAGGCAGTTGTTCAACATACTGGCAGATGCTGTGACTTGCAGGGATGAGATAGTGTGGAGTTCTGCTCCCACAGAGTCCATAAAGTGGGTAAGTGACCCTTAACAATATTCCTGAATAGTCCATAGTTTGGGTAACGTTCTGCTAAATGGTTGAGTGTTTGAACTGCACCGAGAACAGCCACAGGATACCTTCAGTTCAGAGTTCCCAATATTACTCTCCCACAGGGCCTGGGATAGAGACAATTTCATGAATTTGCACTAGACAAGGGAGGGACTGGAAAAGACCACATGAAGGGTTTGGGCTCAGCTGAGAGGGACACAGGGCCCATCGAGTTTGGTCAGAGGCCAAGCCCAGAATGAGCTGCTTTGGATTTGAAAGTCTTGGGTTTTTATCTGAACTCTTGACCTGCTCCTTGTATTAAGCATGAACCTGGGGACTGGTTGATTTCTTTATCTGCCAATGTGAGTGGACACCTCTTTACTTGGAGACACTTGTCTTGGGAAAGACAGAGGAGCATCTAATAAAATCAAGAGTTGTTACACTCTGACATTCCGGATCCAGATGGAAATTTTTTCCTTAAACTTAGGATTTCTTATCTTCTTCTCACATTTTTCTTACCCAGTCCTGCCGAGGGAGAGAGACCTTTCCCCATGTTCTCCGGAACTCCCCCACCCTTCCAGAGCCAGTCTAAGCCTGCCCTGTGATTGAGAACTTCCGCATTCTCAGGCCTGCTCCAGATCTGCCCAACCCCAGGTCCAGTGAGTGTGTGGGAGAGCTTCTGCGCTATCCTGCCCAACCAACCCTCCAGACCCAGCCCAGGCTTGGCATACAGGCCTGGGGTGAAACTCTTCAGCTGAAGTCCTTGTAGTGAGACTAGGGTCAAAAACACACAGCTAATCCAGGAGCAGAACATCTTGCCAGGAGGGCACAACAGGTTCATCTACAAGAGTGGCAGCAAGAAGGAGCTGAGCACGGTAGCCAGACACAAGCCAGGCACAACTGGATGAACTAGAACTTGGTATATCAGCACGTGAATTTTAGTAAGTGTTACGGTTTTAACTGCACTAAAGCTCTACACCAAAGGTTAGTCGACAGTGCTATACAAAATGACAACAAGAAGGAGAAAAATGCAATCTTAGGTCCCAAGCTCACCCAGAACAAGTGTAGAGGACACTAGCACAACTGAAATGTCTGAATTAATAGCATCTGAAGTAAAGAAACAACAGCACAAAGGTACAGAGGAACTCAGATCAGAATTAATCTCTGAAATAAAAAAAGAAATCTCTGAATTAATAGTTTCTGAAGTGAAGAATCAAATGCAGAAACATACAGAGGAAATAAGATCAGAGATATTCTCTGAAGTTAAAGAATTAATAACTGCTCAAGAAGACACTGATAAAAAATACAAGAGATTAGAAAAGCAACAGAATCCTTGAATGAACAATACAGGAAAGAAATAGATCACATGAAGCAGAGTCAAAGAGACATAGAGGAACTCAAAATTTCAATCACAAGCTAGCAAAACAGTTTGAGTGAAAGTGAAGATAGAGTTTCAGATCTTGACAACGATGTCACAGCTAGTAAAAGGTAAGAAAAGATCTCTTAAAAACAACTAAGATGCAGGAAAAAATAATACACCACCTGCAAGACGATGCAAAGATGAACAACGTAAGACTAATAGGCATCAATGAGAAAGGAGTCAATTCTTATCCTTTTAATAAACTTTCCTCCTTTTTATTATCCATATAATGTTTTTTATCTTTTTGTATTATCTTCAATTTCTCTTCAGTTATTTTTTTCTTAGTTTATGTCATCCTACAAGCATCCTTCTCTTCCTTTTTTATTTTTTATTTTTTTCCATAATTTTATTGAGAAACAAATAGCAATAAGACAGTTTCAAACCAAATTGGTAGGACACTTTCAATAATTAACACATTGAATGCATTCTTCCTAGAGTTAATTGCTGTACAAGATGCGGACATGATATCCTATTTACAAACACCACTAAGAAGTATATAATTCTTTATGCCTATTTTTAAAACATATTCTAATTTTTAAATGTATTATTACATTCTGTAGGGACTTAAAATTCAAAATATCAATACTTGATGCAAAATACCTGTTCCATATTATGCCTAAGATGTTTAATATGCAGATAGATAGTGAGGTTAAGCTTAACAGCCTAAGTTGTATGGTAATAACAATAAGCTTGTCTTCTGGATGGTTAATAACCTAAGTTTGCAGACCAAAATTAGAGAAAAAGGAGGGCTGCAAGAAAAGTCAACATTTTGGCTT